GGAGGATGCGTAAAGGTTTCCATTACGTGTGTTTTTATGATTTGCCGTCGTTTTGGAGAGATGAAGACGACGTGGCTGGAGAGCAGGTGGTGGGAGGGGGGGGGGGGGGGGGGGGGGGCAGGAGCGGAGTTACATAAGAGCCAAAGTCTCCCTCACACTGCGGAACCGAGCGAAAGTGACACATGGCCACCATGAGACCGTTTACTGTGCCCACTGGGCAGAGCCACACGCTGCGCCTACCCGCTCTACGGCGCCACCTCCTGCCCCACCGGCAGAAGGCACCACGGTTAAGGAGGTGGACAGCATGACAGGGAACACATCCCCCCCCCCCAGCACACATGCACGTATCTAACATCAAGCACTGAACAAATCTGCTACACCGACCACTTAATGTACTTAATCCACATATTAAATTATCTAGTCCTTCTCAAAGCACAGATAGATAAAAAAAAAATGTTTGCAGAGGAACTGTTTGGAGATTTTCTAAAGGTTCCCCAGGGAACGGAAAGACCTGAGGTCCCCTTTTAGGCCCTGATGTTGAAGCATCAGAACATCAGTCGTCCTTTGGGTGGTTTTTAACAGAGGGACTTGAATGATGGCCGCTGCTTTGTGAAGCTGCCTGGGAGAATATCGTGCCTCTGGGCCGTAAAAGAACAGCACGTTTGATGAGGTCATATGACCAGCAATGGAAAAACAGCATGTATGAGAAAACTGTAGGCTAATTTTTCGGAACCCACCCCCCACTTCCAGATAGCCGATAGCAACCTGGTTTACTGTGGGTGGGGTGGTCAGTGCTGGCACTACAAGAAGACATGTTTGTGAGCCAATCATAGCTTAAAAATTATGACTTGGTGTTTATCTATATGTCTGCCTGTCTGTCTGTCTCACATTCATCCCATCCCATATCACTGGGTGAAACATTATTAGTCAGAGCTAAAGTTGGTCTCCTCCACCATTAATAGAATTGGGCGAATCGCTCTTTTACATCTCTGTGGAGTGGCTTCAAAGTGTCGTTTGCTGTTTTAGTTTCCGATGAACCCGGGCGCCATCTGAATTCTTAGAATATTTGACAGGAGGGAATAGAACATTGTGGGAATTTTGTTTTGTTTTTGACCATGCCAGAAATACTTTAAAGGGAAAACAGTGAGTATTTGTTTAAAGAGCTGAGAGAGCACAGAACCATGGTGCTGTTGACGTTTTCTGTGGGCTCAGGTTCTTAACACTAGTAGAAATTACTTGAAGCTCAAATCAAATGCAAAACGTGGTTTTGCGAGTATAAATGCACCCGAATGTCTGTCTTGAGGCAGAAAGGTCTTCTTGATGGCTGAGTGGTAACGTGCAGAGAAGCCCCAGACCGTCACCTCTGCTGGCCGTCACCTCCGATGACTTCTCTTTCTGCCGACGGACGAGTACTGGTCGGCCTAGCTGGTTGTAAGGGGGGGGGGGGGAGCGACAGATGGGCCTGGTTGGCGATGCAAAGTCTGTCCTCAAACACCTCCAAAGACTCTCGTTCAACAGCCGATTTGTGTAACAGATCTTGTATTGTTGCCAGACTGTAAAT